ACCGAGAAGAGATATATACTTAGGACGCCACAGACAACATAAGTTATGTTGTCAGGTGGGAAAAGAAATGTCTAAACTCCAAATCAAATATTAAACAGGATGAACTTGCATATACTTTAACAAAAAACTGTAGGAGAAAACCCTCAATCTCTGATTGCCTAGTAAGACGTAAGGCACCAAACCCCTTCCTGATCGTTCAAAATCTACACTACAAAAATATCTTATATATTAGAGTGTAGTACAAAAGGCTTTAATGATCAGGATTCAATTAAAATTAAATGGATAGGGAAAGTTTAAGTTTTTTGAGTTTAAACATTCCTACTTTTTGAGACGGCAAAAGAACTTTTCAATAGCCAACAAATCGAACTCTCAGAATTTTATGATTAATAATTTTATAAACATAACCAAAACTTGAAAGTTGTCACAATTTCAATAGAGATGGCACACCTGCACAACTGTGGCAGATGGTCCATTCGAATCGAACTCATGATATTTATGTACTTGGACTGTCTACTATAAAATGACATTTCGATAAAATGCATCCCCTGCCAAACCGGACGCACTACAGCTGAGCTCCGCCTCTCTCACCCACTTTCTCCTGGCAACCTAACCGCGCTGAGTCTTGACAGCTCCATGAAAAGTTCTGAGTGAATTACAGGCAAGGCTCTTTAAAAACAATTCTTACCTTTTCTTTCGCTCTCCCTGCATGTTTCTGCACAGATCTTGCGATTAAAGTACTCTTACTCTCAGCCATCTTGAGCACACGCCAACAACACCAACTAGTTAGTCCTCACTCAAATCCGTTTCTCTACTGCTCCAAACAAGAACTGCTGCAGACAGGGTCTGATGAAAACACAGAACCTCAACAACCCGAGCGACCCGAGCTCAGCCACAGGAACTCGTTAGTTAGTTTTGAAAACAGACACCTGGAGCGCTGCTGTCCATCACTTCATTTTTCATTTTAATTTCAGCGCTGCTTCCTGACAAAATCTGTAGCTCTTGAGATACCTTACGTGATATAAAATTTAATTTTACTTACCATTGGACGTTTTCTAGTCCAGTTTTATCATGTTGGGTTGAAAAGGGATATCTACTAGAGTGACAGCAGCGCTGTTGCGGGAAACATTTAAACCGTGTACACCTTTCCCTCTAGTATTCACAGATCTAGTTACCTTGCACAAACACCAACCAGCAAAAAAACACATGTTATCATTGGATCATGATTTTCAAAAGTTATAGCCCCTTTCAAATAGTTTAAAAAATTTACTTTGTTGAAACCTAAGTACTTGGTTATCGATTTAACAGTAAATATTATCAAAGAAATGTCACACTTTTCGGACGAACGTAATTTTGTTGGTCAAACTGAAAACTGTCAAAAGCTCAAAGCCTTTGATAAGACGCGCAAAACTGTCTTCCCAACCTTGTCTAAATCTTCTTGATCTGATTGCGAAGCAGAAGAAACCTGGCCCCTAACCTTATCTTTCATTTTTCTTCCCAAAATGGGGGGCTCTCAGAGCACTAGAAATATTAGCGTCGTGAATGAGAATGAAGATAATGTCATTAAGGTGTCTGACGGTGTTGTGCGGCGACTCTTTGGTGACGAGTCGGCTGGAAGTCCCACGGGCACGCAGGAAAGTCTGCAGCCAGCCGCTGCAGTAGCCGCGCAACCTGCGTACATCCCAGGATACAACCCCATTAGCACTGCTCAGGTGCGTCTAGTCAATTAAATTTCATTTTACTTTGGTTGCATCTGAATCTCTGCTGAAAAACGAGTAGGTGTCATTGTGCGTCACTTATTGACATTTTCTCACTTGACCCCTTCACTATTCAGAGGTGATCAGAGCTGCTGACTAAATTTAATAACAAGTCACCATTTAATTTGCTTAATAATCATTTGACTGTAATTTTTGAACCTTAAGTGTTAATTGATAAAATGGTTACAATTGCTGAAGTCATTTATCACAGCTGTCTTGACACATTTCCTTACGTTGCACCTTGTCACCGTTGCCAAGGACAAAAATGTTACCAGTCATAATTGTAGTCTGATTCAATCCAAGAAAGTAATATTGCCAGGAATTGTATTTGTGATACCGTTATGTCCTTTCCTAAAGCATATGTTATTGTTTTTTAGGTTCGAAGAGAAGTTTTGGCGGCTAAGGATGAATCTGACAAGTACTGGACAAAGCGAATCAGTTCTTTAGTTGATGCTCAGGAAAGATCCAAGAAGTATTCTGAAGCAGAATATGAAAAAGCTTTGAATGAGGTGAAAACTATTTTCAAAACTCATAACACTGTGCACTATGAAAGCCCCTGCAAAGAAATTGAAGGTTCCCTAACTAAATGTTACAATGAAAATCCATCTAAGCCTCTAAACTGTGCTGCTCAAGTTCAGGCATTTTCGGATTGTGTGCAGGTCAAACACACAAACAGGTCAAAAGCGAGGACATGAAGTTCCTTTTTCACATCTGTGTAGGCTATTTTAAACAGTTCAGTGAGAACCGCAGTGGGTACCCCAAACACTTTGCCATTAGTAATTTTAAGTTGTATTTGAATTTTAGATGTTTATATTTCTATTGTTTTTCCATGCCAGTTCAATCAAATTGTAGAACATCTTTTGCTTGATTTCTGTTGATAGTGTTCCGTCTTTGTTGTTAATGTTACTCTCTGAATATCATAAAATGTTTCATTCAAAAGCCTTACATTTTTGTGAAGTTTACCTACTGTAATTAATAAAAATGTATATTTTCATTTTCTTTTTTCATTACTGACATGCCTCTTCAATTCGTATTTAGATAGGATTTAAATTTTCAACCAAAACCAAGAAAGCATACTTAACACAAATTATGCATTTAGAATTAAAATACTTCTCGAGAGGCCTGTGCGCCACCTTCAAGATTGGCAATCAGCCATTGGTTTAGAGCAAACCGAGAAGAGATATATACTTAGGACGCCACAGACAACATAAGTTATGTTGTCAGGTGGGAAAAGAAATGTCTAAACTCCAAATCAAATATTAAA